TGGAACAAATACAATCATCCGTCAACAGTTTACCTATCTAAATCAAGTCGGTAGAACGCCAATCCTTGTCGTTGAGTAAAGATAAAACAAAATATATAGAAAGGCGGTCTAGTTTTACAACCCATCTACACAAACATCTCGCACACTTCCCCGGTTCCAAAGCACCTTACAATCTGGGAGATCATGTCTTGCCTTTCTTCTTAAACGAAGAAGCCTTTGTTAGAGTGCCGTCTAGCATGGCAACAACATCCCACATGGTTGGTCTGTCTGTCCGCTCCTTTGCGGCACATTGCAGTCCGATGTCCATGCATCTTTGTATTTCCATTACCTCGTACTTGTCACGCGATGAAGGACCTAATAAGCCATCCACATCATCTTGTCCTTCAAGTGCGTGCCGAACCTGATAAAAATGGCATCATAGCTGACAGGTTTAGTTGTTGTAGTTGTTGGTTTGTCGACGGAAAACACATGGTAGCGTCCAGAATGTGTTCAAAATCTTACCCAATCAGTTGAATCTTGCAAAAGTCCAGACTTGCTAATGGTATGGAGCAGGAGAATACCAAAGCTGAACACATCGTGTTTAAACGAAAAAATACCATCTGCTATGTATTCTGGAGGTAAATAGCCCCTGAAATAGAAAAATAAAGATCTTAGGAAAAATAGAAATAGAGAAGGAAATAAGGAGTACTATCTACATATGAATGTAGCTTAGGGCATGTACAATGGTGCTATCTTAGGAGTGCCACGTGGGATAAATGATGAGGTAAAAGAGAGAGAACTCATAAGAAAATGCTTGTCTTATCTTATTTAAGAGAAGACAAGAGATGATCTCTTAGCATAATATGTCTCAGCACATTTTTAGGAATAGCTAGTTATTGAAGATAAGGCTAAGAGATGATCCATTGTAGACATCTTTTTCAGTCATCTCTAAATTACATGCAAGACGTAAGATAAGACTATCTTATCAACTATTGTACATGCCCTATGGCCTTATGGGTGCGTGCGTCAACCGATGTAGAGGTCAGGGATGCTATCCTTCTTTCTCGAAAAATAATAATATGAATGAAGCACTTACAGTGTTCCCGCCAACTCTCGTGTCACTCTTTCAGCGACATCTTCATCCTTTTGATTCAGTATTTTGGACCTCTCAAAGTCACAGATCTTCGGGTTCATGTCGGAATCCAAGAGGATGTTGGCTGGTTTCAGATCCAAGTGGACAGCGCCTTTGGTGTGGATGTGAGCTACGCCCTGTGCAATGCCTCGAATGATTCGAAATGTGGAGGTCCAATCCAGCTGCCGCGACGACCCTGCAAAAGTGCAAACCAACCAAAAAATTAAGTTACTACAGGAAATTTCGTTCTAAGATGAATTAACTGTCAGACTGTGACCAATGTATACTACTCCAGTACAAATTTTAGAGAAAAAGATACCATCGATAATCTCGGACAAGTTTCCATTGGGCATGTACTCTTCCACCACAAACATATGACGCCTTTCAGCAGCCACACATTTGCCTTCGATCGGAACCATTTGAATCTTTGTTTCATGGCAATATCCCAGAAATTTAACTACATTCTCATGCTGCCTCAGCACTGAGAAAACTTCGGCGTAACGCACTACGTGTTCATGTTGCGAAGGATCCACAATGAAACTCTTGATGGCAACCTCTGCTCCATTGGCCAATACACCCTGAAAAGCGGGCACACATAGTACATATGCACCATTTAGTTAGTTAAAATAGTTGTCTCTGGTATATATCTGAACTTGACTTGACCTAGCTAGACTTAACGATTAGTTGTGCTATGCTTATATCGCACAATATGTGCTGGAAAGAGAAAATCATGGCAAACCAAGCCCACAAGGATCGAGAGTACCTTGTAAACGATAGCAGAACCACCTTTGCCAATCATTTCAGAAAAGTTTTTTGTAACCGCCTTCAGTTCAGAAAAACTGAAATTTCTGAATTCTGCCGTGAAACAACACACAAGTGCATACATATGTTATTAATATTCTAAAAAGGTGGTTATAGGAGGTATGATCTTACGTGATATAGTATCCTCCAGGCTTCCTGCTGGAAAACTTACTTTCTCACCATGAATTTCAGATCTGCCATGGTAGTGCAAATGCAATTTTGTATTTAGGATAATATAAACAGTACAATGGTATTTTTATATTTTTCAGGTCACTTAATGGTATATGGATGACTAAACAAACCGAACAGCACTGGTTTTTGTAATGTTTTTTTCTCATCAAGTTTTGAGGATTGTCAGTGACATATATCCAGTTAATGATTCATGGCAAGAATGCATTGCCCAAATCTGACCTTGTAACATCGTTTGGGTAACTGGCATGTTCGTCCTCCACCCGATCTTCCTGAAATAGACCAGTAAATATACCATTACGATATAAAAACTGAAACTTTTGTTCATCTAAATGCAAAAAACAGATGCAGAAGCCAGGGTTTTCCCCTTTCTGAAAAAAGTTCTAAAAGAACTGAAACTTTTGTCAAGAACAATTTCGCAAAAAAAAAACTAATTTAATTTCAGCAATACCTCAGCAACAAGAATATCTGAGTCGCGGCATACCAAACGGCTTCCAACCGCCTGCATTTCTTGCTCCCCTTGCATCGACAGAACTTTGTAATATTTCTGTATCCAAGAAAGAAACAGTCTATGTGTTAAAATGATGAATAAAATACGTGGGTTATCTGAAAACTGAATTTGAACAACTCCTAAACTAAAATCTACATTAATAATTCAAACCAAATATTTCCTAGATTTAGACAAGATTATGCGTTTCATAAGTGAGCAATTTAAACATGAATTAGTAATTACAGTATGTGACTATGTATACTCCCTCCAGTGTAATTAAGGATTGAGAGCTGTTTTAAATTTGATAACAAATATGAATTTCCTAAATGACAAGCAAGTAGGTAGTATATATCATGTTCTCCTAGGCCCCACACACCCTTGAGCATATCAAAATCCGTCTTGAGGGATAGATATTCCCAAATTACTATGAAAATCTGTTGTCGCAGTATATGGCAAGGACAAAAAAAAAATTGCAGCTGTAGGCCGCAAAGTCATAAGAATCTACACAGAAATAGCGAGTTGAGCAATGGAAATTGCAAAAGCAGGCCACTAGGCAAAACCACATTTTCTTAGCATGCAAGTGTATACAAGTTTTGAGTTTCGATCAATAACCAGTGATACCTTACCTTAGTCTCGTCTAGTATAGTAAGAAAAGAGTTGATACCTTTGGATTCACTGCGGGATCTCTAATAAATGTTTCGGTGATAATGACAGTTTGCTGGGCGCAGTTGCCGAAGTTGGCAATGTGCATATGCTCCATCATCTCGTCCTTGACCTCACGCAGCTGTTTGGATACGTTCCCGGCCCTGAGGAAGAGCCACACTTTGTTCTTGGTCTGGCAGGCCTTGACGAGCTTGAGGGCCTGAAGGAACGTCTCCTCGAGGTCGCTGAGCGCGTCGCTCATGGTTTTCTCGCTGGTGACATCCGTGCTGTTGAGGCGTTCCACGATTGCGCGAAGCCTTCCCACACGTTTTGCGACCTTCTTGCAGTCCTCCTTGTTCTGGTAAGCCGTCTCCACCAGCGTCTGTATCTGGAGCGCAATTTTGGGGAGACGCTGCCCAGATCCATCCTGACCGGGGGTGAAGTACAATCTACAGATACAATGAATGAAAAACACGCATGAAATGGTTCTTGAGCTGATCGATGATGAACTAGAAAGATAAAGACTCTTTCCAGAGTATCTAGCTTTCCCACAGCAATCAAAGTAAAAAGTCATTATGCAAGGCACACCAACCTGGCGCCAGAGGAGTACAACCTACGGCTGGAATTAATGATATAACTAAGCTTATCGATGATGACCTAGAGAGATAAAAACCTTTTCTCGATGTCTTGTTTTCTCATAACAGTCAAATTAAACAGGCAATTAAGAAAATCACACCAACCTGTTACCTGCTTCTAGCTTCTTCTCCTTCGCTTCCCTCCCAGCCGGCCGGCCTCTTGCTTCCTCTCCGGAGCGACCAACCGAGTCCTTATTGGCAGCAAGTCTCGCTTGCTTTTACTCCCTCCGTTCGAAATTACTCATCCAAGAAATGAATGTATCTAGATGTATTTTAGTTGTAGATATATCCATTTTTGTAACAAGTAATTCCGAACGGAGGGAGTATATGCTAATCTAATACACACAATAATTGAGCACTAGTTTATTTGTTGCCCAACAGCTAAGTACTAACCTTACCCGCAAAAAAAAAAAGCTAAGTACTAACCCAACGCGATCATTGACAAACAAAAAGACAAGAACGGCAGGATGTGTACTTTATCCAAAAAATAGACCTGCTACGTACTGCTCCATTCTTCTCGATAAGAATATACAAGTCTTTTATTTCTGTTGAGAATAAGGGTAATGCTAGCCGCCGGTTGGCCGGCCCAAATTTCGTCTGGTCACCGTGCTCGCGTTGGATCCAATCACATGTGATCGTCAGATCCAGAAAAAAAGAGAGAGAATCCGGTTTCCTGCCCCGCATCACTCACTCTGCTCGCAGTCGCCACTCGCCGGCGGCACTCCCTCCCGGCTCCTTGTTAGAAGGGAGAGAGAGGTTTGGTGGAATAGTTCGATGTACTGCTTGAGCCTCGTGGGCATATGTATAGGAGTACATGGTCATCTTGGAGTACAAGGCAAGCCATAATATTTTCTAGTCTATCTTATGTTTCCAATTTAACAATGATACTCAACACTCCAGTACCATGCGCTCCATTATGCCGTCAGTGGTCGCAGATGGGGCAACTCAGCGGCCAAGATGGGGCGACGCAGCGGCAGCGCGAGGGTCGGTGCAGCCATGGAGACGACCTGAACCGGACGGCCTCGGACGACCGTGGACCGCGGGCCGCGGCACTACAACCCGAAGGGGCGACACAGCGGTAGCACGTAGGTCGATGCAGCTGTGGGAAGAACCATGGGACGGCGACGCTGCGGCCCGATGGGACGACGCAAGGGCAACTCATTACTCAATCGGTAGGTGCACGCTATACTTGAGAAGATCTTCAAGGGACCGGGCGAGGTGTACAGGAATGCACGAAGGCTGAGTTGATGCATGAGCAGACGAGCAGCCTCCAGCTGCAAGTATACAACACGTATGAGCTTCCTACACCCATCATGCACAAGCACATACGTGCATGGACACGGCCACGCGCGGAGTGGATTTGCAATCCGGCGTCTGGCGTTGGAGCCAAGCACATCCACGCGTGGACAAACTGGCCGAAGAGAAAAATCCCAATCAATTGGTTGGAAAAAAGACTCTCTAAGGCAGCCGGCCAACTTGATCGGCGAACAAACCCTAGGTACGGATTGCGCGGCCCCCGGCGGCGGTCATGGAGGTAGCGGTGGGCGACGGCTAGGGTTTGGATTGGTTAGGCCGATATCATGTTAGAAGGGAGAGAGAGGTTTGGTGGAATAGTTTGATGTATTACTTGAGCCTCGTGGGCATATATAATAAAGTTTTAAATAGCGCGCTAAGCCTCTTAGCGGCAGACCTCTTCTAAACGCTATAGCGTGCTATAGCGCCCTATTTAAAATGTTTGTTCATGTGTTTGGAGCAAAGAGCCTTAGCGCAGGATCTGTTCTAAACGCTATAGCGGGCTATAGCGGGCTATTTAAAACTATATATATATAGGAGTATAGGGTCATCTTGAAGTACAAGGCAAGCCAGAATATTTCCTAATCTATCTTATGTTTCCAATCTAACAATGATACTCAACACTCCAGTACCATGCACTCCATCTCGCTGCCATGCCGCCAGTGGTCACAGCACTGTCGGCCATTGGTTGTAGCATCTCCACGGCCGGATCCCGCAAAAAACCGGACATGGTCTTAGCATCCCCACATGCCAGTTCCAGCTTGTTGAGGCCATGGTTGTAGCATACCCACAGCCAGCTCAAGCATATTCCAGCCGGGGTCGTAGCATCCCCAAAGACCGGCTCCAACATCTTCAGGCCGTGCTTGAAGCTCCCCCGTTGGCCGGTTGCAACTCCATCGTTGAGAAAAGAAAGTAGCACGGGCATAATTGGCTGTAGCTTCTCCCGTGCCTGGTTGTTGCTCCGTATGCATATGGTTGTAGCTCCACCGTCGGCGGTGCGTGTTTGGCTCCTGCTCTGCCAAACGACGGTTGCAGCTTCTGCCGATGCCACTTGCAGCATCCCCTCGGTGAGAGCACCTGTCGTCCGGACACTTGCAGCTCCTGGCCTCATGTGAAGGACTCACGGGGGTCGCATCTTCTGATGTACATTGTTGCAGCTAGCTGTCATGCCCCTGGTTGCGAGCTGCCATGCCCCTGATTTGGAGTATGCCGCTGGGATGCCCTTAGATCGGAGGTTACATTGCGCATTACAGTGATCGGATCAACATCAACCCCTCGAAATATGTAACATTCCGTGTATCCCAGACCTTCCAGAGGACTAGGATTAAGATGAACGGCCACAACGAGGTGGGCAAGCCATTTGGCAGAGCACTGCACCATAGATCGCCGATGGGGGTGAGACTTGGGGTGATAGCCAAGGCACCCCATATGTGTTGGGCTTGGGCAGCAGTGCAACGCAATTGAAGAACAGGTGCGCTCTGTCCTCAGTGGCGGCCTGGCACCAACCAAGGACAAGTGGCAGAGTCCAGGTGAAAGTTTGCTTGGTGTTAAGCGTGACGAGATAGAACAGCTAGCCAGCCAAAGATTCGCACGTTGCTGGGAACGAACATCCCAAATGTTAGCGAGGTGTGGGTGCGCGAGTTGTGACTTGTGAGTCGAGCGCATCAGATCAGAGGCCGCTTAGGTGGTGAAAGGGCAGCCGTGAAGCAATGAGCGTGAATCCGGGGAAGAGTTATAAGTTCAGTGTCCCCAGTGTTGATTGCACAGTTGAAAAACATTCTCTACTTTTTTGCATTAGGCTCATACAAGTAGGAGTGCTGATTAAGTGATTAGGCTCTTGGACAAAGATGAAAGAACGACCTGCGTGGAGTCCATGGCCTAATTTGTACATATATATGGACCTAATTTGTAAGTCACCAATAGATCCGGCGTTTGGAATTGGACACATTATCAGGCCCTAATTCTAGTTTATTGTCCCACCGCATTCCAACGCCACCTTCACATGGTCTCAACCACCTCATTCACATCATCAAGCCATTGTATTAGTACCCACAGAAATAAAAAAAATCAAGCCGTTGTATTTTATTGGATATAAAATCAAGGAAACGTCTTGGATGCCACCTCCGGCCGGCCCAGTGCACTGCACGACAAACGCAACATAAACTATTTTTTCTCTGTTATTATTGCAGCGGAACCTACTACCTTTCATATTTCCGAGTGACCTACTGCCTATTTTCATTGTCATCACAAGAGAAAAGGAACCTAGGAGTATTTTCCATTGTCACAAAGAAAAACTACATAGTGGTATTTTTCAGGGGAGAAAAGAGTCTACATAGCCTGGCCTGCACTATAAAACAAGCCCTAGGACCTCTTCCAGACCACACTTGTCCACAAGCCCCGACAACTAAAACTCCAACCACACAAACAAATTAACAGTCCCTGCGCCTTGCTCACCGCCGGAGAAGATGGCGGCGGCTGTTGGCACGGCCCAGTTGCTCCTCGGCAAGGTGCTCACAAAGCTGTCGGATGAGCGGGTGGCCTCCTATGTGGCCAGCTCCGAGCTCGGCCTCGACTCCCAGAAGATCAAAGATGGCCTGATGCACACGGCTGGTCTGCTGCAACACGCCCACGGAAGAGGCACCACCGACATTCCTGGACTCCAGGACTTGCTGGAAAACCTGAGCAAGAAGGCTGACGAGGCTGAGCAGTTGCTCAACACGCTCCAGTACTTCATGATCCAGGACCAGCTTGACAGCACCCAGCTAGTCAAGCCAGATCTTGGCGATGGCCTCAAGGTCAACAAGGTTCATGCTCGTCATACGCTTGGTAACTGCCTTCCATGCTTTTCTTGCTCATGTACCAGTAGCCCACAAAATGGAACAAAGTCTGATAGCAGCGACCTTGTCGATGAGTTGGCATTTGACAGTGTGTCCATGTCCATCAAAATTAAGTCGGTCTTAGAGGAGACACACTCCATATGCGTTCAGGTCTCCGACTTGCTCGCGATTCCAAACCATACCAACAGCCCAACGACTGCCATAACTATCCCCCACACAATGTCTTTTATAGGATCAACAATTGCATATGGTGCCTTGTATGGTAGGGACGCCATTTCAGAGGAAACTATAGATGTCATCACCAGTTGTGATGAAACCCTTTCTGTTCTTCCTGTTGTCGGGCCACCGGGCATTGGAAAAACAACTTTCATCCGGCTCTTGTATAATAGTGTAAGGATTAAAGACCAGTTCACTGTAATATTCTGGGTATGTGTACAAGCAGATTTCAATGTACTAGAGCTCACCCAAAATATCCATAGATGTATTCCTGCAACTGAAAACGAAGAAAGTATCAGTGTTGCAAATGAAGTAGCCAATCTAGACCAGCTTCAAATTTCCATTGCACGAATACTGAAGTCCAAAAGGTTTTTGGTTGTCTTGGATGATGTGTGGCCATGCAAAAGTGATGAATGGAATACCCTATTAGCTCCATTCACAAAAGGAGAAGCCAAAGGCAGCATGGTTCTTGTTACAACTCGGTTCAACTCGGTAGCACAAATGGTGAAAACAATGGATCCAATAATGCTACATGGTTTGGACCCTAATGTTTTCCTCAGATTCTTTGAAGCATGTATATTTGATCATCTCGATAAACCTGGGCATTACGAAGATGAGTTAATTGATATTGCAAGAGATATTGCAGGGAAGTTACAGGGTTCCCCGTTAGCAGCCAAAACACTCGGTCGACTGTTAAGGACAAACCTATCTCGAGAACACTGGATAACAGTTCTAGAAAACGAGGAATGGAAAAATACACAAGGCAATCGTGACATTATGTCAACTTTGTATATGAGCTACGATTACCTCCCTTTCGTACTGCAAAAATGTTTTTCTTATTTTGCCCTTTTCCCTAAAGATCATAGGTTTAGTAGTTTAGAAATGAACCGTTTTTGGATTGCTTTAGGTATCATAGATTCTACTAACTTGGCCGATAATAGTTACTTGGAAGAACTAGTGGGCAATGGTTTTCTCATGAGGGATGGTATTAACTATGTAATGCATGACTTAATACATGAGCTATCTCTAAGAGTTTCAGCACAAGAATGCCACAATATAAGTATTTCAGATTTTAAAGCTGACGCAGTCCCACCATCTGTTCGGCACTTATCTGTGACCTTAAAAAATAGATATGATGAAAATTTTCGGAAAGAAATGAGTAAACTGGAAAGAAGGATAGAAATTGCAAATTTACGAACATTGATGATTTTTAGCGAATATGAAGAAAGAACTTCTGATATTTTAAAAGATACGTTCAAGGAACTAAATAATCTGAATGTCCTATTTATAGTTGTGAAATCCCTAGATGACTTGCCAAAAAACTTTTCAAAACTTATCCACCTTCAGCACCTCAAACTTGGATCACCTTATGGCATAGAAATAACTTTACCTAGCACACTATCTATGTTCTATCACTTGAAATTCTTAGATCTAGATGATTGGCATGGTAGTTCGAATTTGCCTAAAGACATTAATCGCCTTGTGAATTTGCAAGCATTCCTTGCTAAAAAAGAACTCCACTCCAGTGTTCCTGAGGTTGGAAAGATGAAGTATCTGCGGGAGCTAAAAGAATTCTGTGTTAGGAAAGAGAGTGTTGGATTTGAATTAGTAGAGCTGGGGAAAATGACAGAGCTTGGAGGAGAACTAAGAATATGTAATCTTGAAAATGTTGTAACCAAGGAAGAAGCTACTTCTGCCAGATTGATGTCAAAAAGGAATATGGGAGCATTGACACTAGTTTGGGGGAAAGGGCAACAGGACACAGGATCTGATATTCTTGATGGCCTTCAACCACACGCTAATCTTAGAGCACTTGGCATTATAAATCATGATGGTGCCGCTGGTCCAAGTTGGCTGTGTCCTGACATCTCAGTGAAAAACTTAGAATCTCTCCATTTAGAAGGCGTGCATTGGGGCACGCTTCCACCTCTTGGGCAGCTAGAGCATCTAAAGGAACTTTCTTTGAAGAGCATTTCTGGACTGCGTCAGTTAGGACCTGACTATGGTGGCAATAAAGGAAAAAGTTTCATCCATCTGTGGAGAATTGTTATTTATGACATGCCAGAACTTGTGGAATGGGTCGTGGAACCTGATTCACAGTTGTTTCCAAGGCTAAGGACCATCATGTGCACATACTGTCCCAATCTCTGTGTGATGCCCTTCTCCAAGCTTTCTTGTGCCAAATTGCGCAATCTTCATATTGATGATTGCCCCAAGCTATCTCTGCTCTCCATGCCTCTCTGTTCAACGCTTCAAGAACTTTCAGTTGTGGAATCTGGTTCAAGAAAGTTGACTTACAGTCAGAAGGTATTGGTTATTTGTGGGTATAATGGTGGTTTGGACTTCCATAATCTGGATAAAGTTGAGCATATGAGCATTGCAGACATATCACACATTTCATTGACAGATGTCAACAATCCTAAATCCCTGAGAAGGACAGCTATGGGAGGACGCAACAGCATGAGCTATGAAGATCTGGATGGCAGGGTTGTCTTCCATTCAGTTCAGAATGAAGACCATGTGGAACGTGTAATACGGTTTCCATCATCAAGCTCACTGCAGACGCTTAGCATCTCCGGTTGTGCAGGCATGGTTCTACTGCCTACGGGAGATGGAGAACAAATCCAGGCCACTGCCTTGCTACATTCAGTTACAATATTCAGATGTGTTAAATTGTTCTCTCGGTGGCCCATGGGAGAAACAGGAGGAGAACCTCAGACCATGAAGCCTTTCCCTGCTTCCCTCAAGAAGCTTGGTATTTCATCTGAATCAAGCATACAGTCAATGGCTCTGCTCTCAAACCTCACATCTCTCACCCATCTGACACTGCAAGATTGTGTTAAGTTAACAGTAGATGGGTTTAATCCTCTCATCACAGTCAACCTGAAGGTATTGGTGGTCTTTAACTGCCGTTGGGACAAAAGTTGTCCTGAATCAATAGCAGCAGATCTGCTCTCAGAGGTGGCAAGTAGCAGGAAAATGCCTGCAGGTTCCTTCCAATTGGAACAGCTCAAGGTGGACAGCATCTCAGCAGTGCTTGTCACTCCCATCTGCAACCTCGTCGCCACTACCATCCACACTCTGATATTCTGCCATGATCACCGGATCAAAAGTTTCACAGAAGAGCAAGAGAAGGCGCTTCAGCTCCTCACATCACTCCGACACCTCACATTTGATGGTTGTGGGGCTCTGCAGTCCCTCCCGCAAGGGTTGCATCGCCTTTCTTCTCTCAAGGACATAGAGGTTCGTTGGTGTCCTGAAATGCAATCCATGCCCAAGGAGGGCTTCCCCGTTTCGCTGCGAACCCTACGCATAAGGCCTTGCAACACCGAGGTTAAGGAGCAAATTGAGAACCTCAGAAGAGCAAGCCCAGGTTTATCTGTAAGATACGAGTAACCTGAGGTAACACTGTTGACTCCCTCTTTTTTTTTCCTTTTCAGAAGTGAGGTTTGCTTCTTCATCCTATTCCTGCTTTATCTAAATAACCGCTGAATCTTACAGGCTAGTATGTTCTGCTCAACCATGCTTGGGATGTGTACAGAAGTTGTGAAATCTGGAAGGCTCTCAGGCACCATGAATCTGCATTTGCACACGAATCAGCTGGTTAGTGCATAGAAGTCCCACTTCTGCTCCTTCATTTATAATGATTTTCTGTGTTTTAACATTGCTGAGATACTATTAGTTAATTCTTATGTAGCTTACCATTTTCTAACAACAACTATTCATTTTGTAGCTCTTGTTCAGTTGCAGACTACACCGCATTTACTTATCAAATTTGAACCGAGTGGGTGCATGCTTAATTTGAAGACTAAGGTGAGACAGATGGACCTAGAGGTGAATATCTCTTCTATATCTAAAATTTAACCTTTTGAAAGAATCTCATCAAGTAAACAAAATTTGCATGTGTGTGGAAAACTTAACGCAATATCTTCTTTCAGGACTGGGACCTTATGAATAATGGAACATTTGCGACCCCAAACAACTCTCCATTCTGCAATGTTGGTAGCTTCCGACCATGCAAATTTAAAAGGTTTTGTTTGAAAATGAATGTGCTTTCTTATTTATGCTCCTCTGCTTACTTTTTTCAGGAAGTGTGGAAGACTTAAGAAAAATACATTCTACAAATCTTCTTTCAGGACTGGAAGCAGACCGAACCAGTGTTAGAACATATGCGATAGCAGATGCAAACAACTCTCCGTTCTGCAACGTTGGTAGCTTTCTGACCATACCAGTGCTACAAGCTTTTAGTTTGAAAACTAGTGTCTTGCTTATTTATGCTCATACGCTTACTTTTTCACCGCTTCTGAATTCTGACAGGGCTCCTATGGGAACTTTCTTCGCTCCTCTTCTCTGCTGTTAGGCTTGAGTTTGATGCACGATGCCATCACCATCATGGCGCGTACAATGTATGCGATTTTCCCCATCATACTCCAGCTCTCAATGACAAATAAACCCGAGGTACAAGACACTAACTTCAATTAAAAATGGCAACATAATTCACATAGTACTGTTCAGCAAAATAACCTCAGTTGTAAACACGAGAATATCTTCAGCAGAGTCTTTTGTATCGCAGGAACTGAGGCCAGAATCATGGAATTATGCTTGCATGTTTTGTCACACCAATATGTCAACAGTAAAACCGCAAAGGCCAATACAGTTGGCATTATTAACCGTGAAGCAGAGGTGCTATACTGTTGCTCTGCAGTATTTTCTTTTCTTTAGACCCAATTTGCCTTTTCTGTTATCCCTTAGATTATTCTTATTTCCATCAAATGAATGCCTTTGTCTAAAGAGTATCAGGTCTTGTTTTTCCAGTCCATGCGGGAGGATCAACCACACCTGAACATTCTGAATCGGAAAATGGCATCCTGCTCTATGTCCAGGCTGCTTGTAATTAAGCATTGCTTGACGCAAAATTTTGCCATATTGTGAGCACATAGAAGTTCAAGCACCTTGCATTTGTAGCAGAGAAGATATCTAGCTGGTGGTGAATTTCTCAGGATGGTGTGAAGGTTATACTTTCTGTAAAAGTTTCAGTTAATTCATTCACAGTCCATTCATGATTCCTGTTTTTGCTTGACTATGAAGTATGATATTATTCTTATGCAGCTTCCCTTTTCTAACAAGAACTATTAATGTCTTGGACAGGCCATGGTAGCTTTTTGTTCCATCTTGGACTACAGCGCCTTTACTTTCAGAATGGCATACTACAGTTTGCATAGAGCTGGGGCATGCTCAGTTTGAAGACCATGGTGACACCAGATGGACCTGGAGGTGAATATCTATTCTATTTTCTAAATTTAACTTCTTAAAAGAATCGCATGACTACTGTATGGAAAATTTAAGGCGATACATTCTGCATTCTTTCAGAGCTGGAAGCAGAGCTTTCAATCTGTGAACAATGGAACATTAGAGGACACCAGATACAACCAATTCTCAGTTCCTGTGATGTTAGTAACACTCTCTATAGTACCTCGCTGAGTTGTTTGAATCTTACATTTCTTGGGATTCATACCGAATTATTTCTGCAGGATTGAAGTGGCTGCTTCCTGAAACTATGGGGGGTCCAATCCTCCTGTTACAAAAGTTAAGTTCCGGCAGCAGGCAACATCCACTACAGAAGTACGTATTCAATGGCAGCTATCTTCTCAGCAATCCTGCCACCACTTGTTGGCGTATTGATTGCACTGGCCACCACTGAAAAAATTCAGAGGAATCATATGCAGAAAACAGATAGGGGAGACCGCTACAGTTGACAGCTATGCAACATTCATGCGCATTACTGTCACAAGCGCGTCTATCAGGTCAGCAGTCCCTAAGACGGACATTCTGAAGATCAGAATAGTATCCTGTTCTGCTTTTGTGACTCCAGTCTGCGGGTATGTATGGTTTTAGTGTGATCATTAGCTTCCTCAATATGCTTTTGTTGTTTGTTAATGACTTTTTGTACCATATGGCAACGACCGTCCTTCAGGTGTTCCTTTGCTAATGTCAACAAACACCTACACAGAGGGGTTCAGAGCATCATCCAAAGGTGTATTATGACTGTTATCGACAGTCGGTGGCGCAATCCAGGCCCAATGTCGTCTTGTTCCCCACCGAGCCAGTGGAGCACAGACAGTTGGCTTGATCTATTGTCGGCTGCACCGCTGCAGTCCTCACTGTAGGAGCCTCCTCAGCCATTTTGACCGGCTGATGGTGATGCACTCAAAATAGCATGGAAGGGCGGATAATAATTCCCAAGGGCGCAATGTTCACGATGTTCCCTGCCGGTGTTTGTGCCATGACTTCTACATATCTGGGCCTCCTGCTCGCACTTACAAAGGCCAGACAGATCCTCATGCAGTACAAGCCAATCATGCTATCGTCACACGGTTGTACCATCTCATCCTCATATTCATCGACTTCCTGGCGTGGGTCAGTCATCAATCACATTTGATGAGCATCGTCACACGGTTGGCTTTGGAGTGGCGAAGAGGCTTGCGGCGGCGCAATGCTTTGTTAACTAGGACACCATCTACTGCCCTAAATCCCATGCAGGGCTCGTGATTTCTACTAGTACTCAAATTGGTTGCGCCTTGTTTCATATTTTTCTAGAATGTAATCAATGATTTGGATGGGACAAATTGTAAGGTTCACTCATTATAGTACTTCTATTAAAAATAGGCTAGAAAGGCCAATCCATGGGAAAAGGACCGAACCAATTAATCTTGACTCAACTAGTCAGCAATTTTATAAGATTGAGGCAAATCCCATCGGACAAAGACTGAACCAATCAATCTTGAACCATATTATGATATTATTACTGCATCTGTGCAAATATAGATGACAGTTTCTAGACACAGACATCTTCCGAAATGTGCTATAACTGTGTCCGTTATGTGTCTGTGCCAAATCTCTATCTGATCCAAACTACAGGTGGATTTCAGATCCAAATCTCAGGTGATACTAGAGATCAATCAAAGTTTGTTAGGTTGAAGGCCGGCCTGACCTGAGAAGAGCTGCCGGAGCGTTGCTTGGTTCCAGATCTACCCGATGCCGGTAGCCAAGAGCTGGGCGCAGTATAATCCGCGGCGCCCAACCGCGCTCTGCACGCAGAACCGCCGGATCTCGCCGTCGCCGGCCGCCTCCGTCCCTTTCCCCCCTACCCCACGGCGGCCTCAGCCCCGGAGCTCCCACGCAGCCTGGACTAGAAAAAGAAAACGATTCATTCGGAGGTATGTTATTTTGAGCATAATTGGTTTGATGCCAAAAGTTGGCATGCCAAATTTTGGCAACTGCCAAATATTGGCTAGAGATTGGTTGCTTGCCAATTCTTGTTGCCAATCTCACAAAAAGTTGCCAAAAGTTGGCAACTTTTGTTTTTGCCAAATGTTGGCTTACCAAATATTGGCAATGCCAAATGTTGGTAGCAAACCAATTATGCTCTTTATTTTTATTTTTGAGAAAGACTGTATTTTTTTGCAAATTCACAAAGATTGTGTATCATTGCATTTTTAAAAGAGTAAAAAAAAATACACCAAAGGGCTACATCAATACACGTATGCAGCAGAAGACATGGGTGCTCAGCCCAAGAAAAAAGCGCAAGACGACAAAACACGCAACATATTAGCTAGCCTATGGCACCGGCCTTGGCCCATTGTTGAGCATCCTCGTGGTCGTCTGTTTCGCGCCTTGTTCAGACAATCAACAAGGCGTGAAACAGACGACCGTTGTCCATAAAAAATGCAGCCGTTGCGGTGTTTTCCAAGCCACCAGGCCGTGTGGATGATGATAGAGGATAGCCCTCGTCGGAGAGCTGGCGGTGACTATGAGCAGGAGATGGCCTACTAGTCAGCAAAAGTCATCAAGGATGAAAGAATATCTGTCGTGGAGCGAGTCATCGTCGATGAAGGGAAAACTGTCGTGGACCGACACCAAGCAAGCACCTCTAGCAACCGACGAGGTGCTAAAGCTCCTCACAGGGACCTGATCACAAAAAGTTCGGGCCTTCAAAATACCCTTTTGGCAAGTTACTTTGAGAGCCGAATTTTGTTTTGACCGATTACACATGTGTGAACGGTGAAAAACAAATGGCACAGACGGTGAAAAAGCACTGGACAGCCGGCGTGATGGATCGTCGACTGCAGCCCTGGACCGTCACGCAGTGGCGGAGCTTGAACAAAAAAGTTGGGCGGGACAGACTAAAGAAAAGCACAATTTTTTTCAAATTCTGACTCATAAGGACATCTTACAAGCACCCAAGTCACAAGATTGAGCTAGTGTGTGTCTATATATTGAGTCACTATTGAGTTAGCTAATACAAAAGTGCCGAGACATTAGACATGCACATACTAGAAATCAACTCTCCGATCCTTCTTGCTTATAAAATCTACAATGACAATTTCGTGGTTGTA